TCCAATAGAAAATAAGAGATTTCAGGAGATAATAATGTCATCCTCTTATTCCAAAACTATTTCCAACCACAGATGATAAATCAGAAGAAAGATGTGGCACAAGATGCTGGGATGGTGGTATCTTCTAGGGTTTTTTGGGTGTTTTATTTTAAGAGAAGTCACAGGGAAATTCATATGGACAAGGCTTATTCCTTCTCACAAGATGCTTTAAGGTTTTTGGCAAAAGAGGAACATGTTTTAGTACTGTTGTTCTCTGAGGGCCTGGATTAGGATAATTTCTCACTACTCTGCTTCCTTTTGCTTGCCCAATAAGAACTCAGTATACACTCCATGGACTCCTCCAGTGTAACAAAATTTATGAACATGACAGCTCGAAACCTGATACCTGAAAGCTCTAACACTCCTCCAGAAACACGCAGCCTACACTCAAACCACCGTGATGATATAGCTCTGGATACTTGCTGTCTTTGACAAAAAAAAACCTCTTGAGCAGCAGGGAACAGCCCTGAATTATGACTGAAGTATTTTACAAGTTACTGCTTCCTTAAGGTACAACACCCATACAAGAGACTGCTCCTGACACCAGTGAAGAAGAGAAAACCGAAGACTGTCTGATGTCCTATGTGAGACTAGAGACTGAAGAAGAGGAAAAAAACCCTCACCTTTCTTCCATCCTTCCCTTCCACCATATCCAGAAGGTCATCACACACAGCAGGGGCTTCACCCCTCTCCTCTAACTCAGGAACATTCACCCTTCACCAACTTCTGAGTTGCTTCAGTTCATCAAGAAAGTGATTAAAATAGTTCCCTCAAAGCCAACATGTGACATGTCACCCAACACCCTCCAAAAGGCTGGTTTGGCTCAGTTTTTCCTGAACTATTACTCAACTGTCAAACTTAACCCTTGTCTTGACAGAATAGCCGTGTGCATTCTGACCGTATCCAGAGACAATAAAGCGGTGGTAGATCCTGACTGGTACTAAGAGGAGCTGGTGTTGACAGGAGTGTGGCAGGAGAACATGTACTACTCCGTGTCTGTTTAATTAGAGTTCTTTACACAGACTTTCTCCAAGCAATTGTGAGGGAGTGAAACAGGTAAATTTCTGTTAAGATTGGCAGGTAGGAACAGACGAGAGGAACTTCGTAGCTAGGAGGTGTTTTGGATTTTCCCAAGAATATTCTGGGTCAGTAAGTTACAAAATCAGGAAAAAACCCCAGACAATAACCAAAAGGCATTGAAGTTCCTCAATCAGAAGGAAAACAAGATGTTGACACATAGCTGAAGTGTCAAAATCATCAAGTCAATGCTGAGATGAAACAGGAGAGGTGTGAATGAGAACAGTAAGAAATCTAAAAGCAACTTGTGTAGCTACACACAAAGGATACGAGTTCTTCCTTTTTTCAACAGAAGAGTAAAAAAAAAAAACACTTTGAGACCCAGCTCAAACTGGCCACGCCCATCACTGCTGACTCAAGGGCATCACACATCAATCCGTATCACAAAAAATAGGCTAACAGCTCCCACGAGCTGTGTTTAGTTCCCAGGAGAGAGTGGGAAACAAAAAAAAAAAAAAGAAGAAAAGAAAAGAAAAAAACGTGAGGAAGCAAGAGCATGGATATCCACTTCTCACTTATGCTAAGTGAACCAGTTCATCTTAATTTGTGCATACTACAGCATCTCCCAACAGACACAGCTTTGCTCTGTTGTTCTGCAGTTTAACTGAAAGTGTCAGGTCTCAGAAGGAGACGTTCATGGAGGATGTCAGAGAAGAAAACTAGAATGCATCACCTACAGGATGTCCGCGCTACTAATTTTCAAGTAGTTTCCTACATCTTACGGAAAATGCAGAAAAACTGCAAGAGCAAAGTCTTCATGGACAACTGATGTATGAATGATCTTTTTGATTTCATTACAGCATTTTAACCTAAATAGATTTTTAAGTCTAGACAGCTCTTTACATTTTTCTTTCCCTTTTCTCCTTCAAATCTTCCCTTACGTTCTGGTTTAACTCGCAGTCTTCTTCAAAGCATTTGTGCTCTATAACAGCAAACAATACTGGACTCAAACCAAGCTATTTTAATGAAAAATTCAGCATGAAGAATAATGTAAGAGTACACAAAAATCAAAATTATATATATACACACATAAAAAAACATAAGGAAAAAGAAAACGTACACTTTGGTTAAGAGTACTTGTTCCTTCTGTAAATGTGATGCTATGGGTGTACCACGTTACTCACAGCAGTAGCATATAGCAGGACAATGATCATCTAAGGATCAAGACTCTAAATTGAATTTATACCAGAGTTTTTACAAGATAGCCTGCCAACTCCTGCTTGAAGTACGAGTATCTTTAAAATAGGACATACATTTGTATTGTCTAAGGTCTATTCCCATGCAATACAAACGCGCAAACATCAGTGGTAACAAACAGAATGACCTCTGATCAACAGAATTTGTTCTGCTCTTGGGATGCTACATAAATCAGTTACCAAGGAGTTGCCAAAATCTTACTAAGTGCTTGAAAGCTCTGCCTAGACGGAAGTAACAGAATTAAATTCAGGGCCTTTTTGGGTTCCAGTGTCCAAACCCAAATACCACATAACCATGTAAATGTTCAACCCACAGCAGGCAGTTTTATTACCGACTTGTATAAAATGTACTCCTAGAGTCTCAGGTTATTTTACACAAAATGTAAAATATCTGTTTTTCCAAATATTTTCATCAAATATTATGGATAAATCAAGGCCTCTTCAAACCAACCTAAATTACTCACTTCCCCCACGTCAGAAATCTGGCATGAAATTTTCTCTTCATACTGAAGATGCATTGCATTATAGGTAGAAAGTTAGTTATAAATACCAGTCTTCACCCCAAGAATCCCTCACGTTTCCTATAATTGAGAAATGTGAAGCCTGACAATCGTTGCCTTTTATTTTTATTTTACTCCCTCCACCCCACAACTCTTTGCCAACACTGACAGCTTAAGCATCTACCGCCCCATCCCTCTTACTGTGCTGTGAACTGATGGAGTTCTGGCTGGGCCTGTTTTGCAAACCAGTTGATGGCATGTCTGCAGAGACAGGCACATCACTACAGTGGAAGGAGGGGAGGGGAGAGATGCCATCAAACCAAGGTCCATGGCAAATGTTGGATCTGAATCCCAATGTGCAGGAGGCATTGTGCAGAGGGAGCCTGGAGAGATTGGTTTCCCAGGGTTCACCTGAGCCACTGAAGTATCAGTTGCATCACAGCTAAGTGGCAGTCCACTATGAGACCTCAACCATGGCAATAACCAGGCCAAGAACCGTTCTGCAACTCCCGTGCTTCTCTCTGGATACATCTAATTAGCAGGTTATTTGCAGCGGAGCTGCTGAATTTACTTTACTGTCACTATTTATACTTGACAATATTGCAAGAAATTCTTCTGCTGACCTTGAATCTGGTCGCTTTGACAAGGTCACAGATTACTACCCTCCAAATACAGAATTACTCTTTTATGTAAAGAGGCACATTGCACGATTTTCCTCCTTTTGCAAAAGGAAAGGGTTTGATTTTTAACATGTGAGGGTTCATACAGCACAATGGCTTGAAAATGTGGTTATTGCTAGGTGTTCTCAGCAACGTGAATGGTCAGAAAACACAGCGGAACATTTCCCCATTATTATATCTCTGAATGAATCTAAATGAAGTCAGAAATACGTGCAAGCTACAGACAGAAAACAATTCCAGGAACAACTGCAATTGCAGCAGCCTTTTCAGAGTAAAGGAAGAGCTTAAAAGGGAAGATCATATCCACATATTAGAGTATGTTTTAAGGAAGCAATGCTGGAGAGTAATTAAGTAACCTAATTACTTAAGTCTTCTAGAGTCAAAGAGTTTCACTGAAGCAACATTACTTTCAGGATACAGGGCAAATCACGTACAAGTACCATACAAGTCACGGTACTTCAAACATGGTATTTGTCATTAAAATACCACACGTGTAGAATACACAGTTTTGTCCATTACTGAGAAAGCAACAGATGTACGTAGGCACTACAGCAAAATAATGAGGAAAAAAATTTAACATGTAAGTAAATTAATTCGAAAATGGAAGTATTTAAAGCAATGATTTTACTCTATTTTGCTTACTCACAAAAAGATTATTGAAAACTGAATTGCAAAAACAATGCCTTGTAATTTCTAAAATATGCTGTTCTGGAAAGTGATCAAGGTTTCCAGTTACAGTTGTACTGTTTGAATTCAATGTAATTAATTATCTTTGAGTTTTCACATGCATAAGGCTTTTCCACTTTTGAATTCTGAATTGCTTGATACTGTAAATTTTTTTTTTAAAATAAGTTTTCCAATGTATGTAAAATATGGTTGCTTTCATATCAAGAAGCTATGCTATGCCAACGAAAACACATCGCATTGGTAGCCTTCATAGAATAAAGTGACTCAATAAAATTATTTGAAACACGGCTACTTGCAGATGTTTTTAAAACTGTGGTTTTTTATCTGAAGAGATCAGGAAGAAGAGAAGACTTTGCAGAGCCCCTCCCTTTCCAATAGGGCAGGCAAAAAATACCTCCGATTTACCCAGGAAAAAACTGACTTACTGCTTGCTGTGAAAGCAGAACAGGCTGCCTTTTCATTAATTACACACTAACCCGCATTCTTTGGGCGGCGAATAAAAAGAGGAAAAGCGTTAGAAGTAGTATGTTTCCCACAGAAACAACTGCCTGTCAAACAAAGCATAAAAAGACAAAAGGCAGAAACAGTGTTTCAGCTTGAACGCCTTAATGTCACCATTCGTCATGCAGCACTTCCTCGGAAAACCCCCAAGTACAGTTAACTCCGCTCCTCTCCACACCGCACACTTTCTCCGCCGGTACAGGATTAAAATGTGCCGGGCCTGACAATGAAACAGCAGAGCCATCGCACATTGTTATGCAACTCACTGTCTGCAAGGGTGGCTCGTAGCTCCTTCTTTATTCAGCAAGTGCCAAGTGCATGTTTAATCAATGTCACAGCTCAGCACAGTGCGCGACTAACGCCACTGTCATTCCTCGCTTCAGATTTGCCTGGCTAAGTTATGCAATGCTCCGAAGCATACCTTGGAATTCTTTCCAGAGGATCTGAATGCAGGTGTGTGACAGCGTTCACACTACTGCCAGGAAAGCAGACTTCTTTTCATCCTTTTTCAGGCTGGACTAAAATTACCTAGTGTGACTGCACGTAGTTCGCTGCATTCGGAATTACAGCGTGTCAACGTGAGAAAGCCTCTTCAGATGGCTGCCACAAAGAGTACATCAACGGCCGGGGTTTCTGAAGTCTCAATAAATTACCAAGTGTAAGTGAGTAAAACCAGGGGCTGTTCGTATTTTTCTCTTTTTTTAAGGCAAAACTGAACAGCACGCATTTCGCTGCTCTGCATCATCTAAGGAAAAAATCCTCAGTTTTAATGAGAATTAGTCAACAGCGAGGATCATCACCAGGAAGGGTTTTACTGTTTTTCACCTACTCTTGCTTCAGTGGATTACCGAGAGAGAAAGGCCAGTCATTTGGAAGATTCTGTAACATTATTATCCTCACCGATAAACTACTTCATCAAGGAACTGTTCATGCTCCTGTCTGGTCTGTCTGAGTGAGGAGAGCAGCCCCTTCATGAAGATAAAAGCCTGGTTTGCCACTGAAACGACGAGTAAGAAGCATGTCTGATGACATTTTATTCCTGATGCAATGTAGGGTAAGAAACATCATATTTTTTTTACCTTTCTGTGAGACATGCTCTGAGCCGATAGCTCTAATTAGACTCACAGCAGAAATGCGTTTATCTCCAATGATTAAAGATGTTTGCCAGGAGAGAAAAATTCTATGGCACTATAAAATGTGGCTGCAAATTTTCAGTGAATTAGGGTTATCTGAACTAGCAGAAATCCAAATCAAATTTTGGTTTAAGGTGGGAAATTTCTGATCCATAAGGATAAAACAGCACAGCAGATTACCTAGAGTATCAACATCTCGGCCACCAATGAACATAATTTTACAGGAAATATGTTTCTAGAGGATATTTGACTGCAATTAAAAGTACAAGAGCAGCTAAGTAAGAGAGACAATCTGTCAACCTCACTTTTGCAACAATAAAGGTAATAAATCATAAATGCATTGGTAAATATCTATCTCAAGTCCTTATACTGCATAGAATTTTGTTACTATAAAAGTACTGCTGTCATTTGGCATACTGCAGTAACAAGCATATATAACAACCAAACCAACCTTTAAATAGGAAGAGACAGGCATTTTCTGTTGTATGTTTTACTGTTGCATGTATACCCAAAACCTGATCAATGAAACAAGTAAAAGGATAAGATCTCACCTGCAATTGCCTGCTTAGGGCTCACTGGTCAAAAGGGACTGCGATGCTGTATTAAGGAGGCATATTTTCCACGTTCAAGGATGGCAGACATGAATATTTTCAACTGGTTTTGTACTGTGACAGTGAAATGTTTAACAACAGCTGAAAATTCACACAATCTCCTGAGGCATTTCAGAGTATCTGACAATGCTGACTACCTGCTTTCATCATTTTGATGTTTCATAAGGAAACAAATCAGCTGGCTAAAGACAAACCTTAAATTTCTTTTAGAATAAAACAGGTTAACTGCCTTGAAGCATCAAGCTATTTTTCATTCCTTCCACCAAATCTGTATCTAGAGAACAATTACTTTTAACATAGACATGTTCATCCGGAAAGAAAACAAAACATGAATTCAACTCAATAAACACAGCATTAGGAAGTACAGAAGTGTTTTCAAAAAGCTCAAAGCTTGCGTGTTTGTCAGACCAGATTTACCATTTGCTTTCTTTCCTCTAGCTAGCTGCCAGAATACTGGTGAAGGTATTTGCAGGAAAAATGGGGACCTCTGCCATCACAACACTGGAAGATGTAAAAAGGCAGGAGGAGAAGGAGGAAAAGGAAGAATCTATTTTAGCGCTGCTTGGGATTATTGGAACTATACTCAATTTATTTGTTATTGTTTTTGTGTACATCTACACTACACTTTGATGACATTTTTGAACATCAATTGCACAGCACACAGTGCAGAGACCAGCGATGGCAAGAATGATTTCTAAATTTAAAGCAAAAACACCACAGTCTGAAAAGACGATCGAAAACATTCCAGAGCAAAGTGTTTGGCTGAGGGCACTGCACCAATGACTGCTAAATGTATCTGTGAGGCCAGCTAGTGTGCTAAATGACATAAACGAAGGCAGACGACACTCAACTTCTCATTGATAAACAGATGAAATCCAAATAGCAGATACAGAGAGGGCACTGTTGTAGTGCCGGCAAACATGCAGGACAAGAAATGTAAGCAAACACTGAAAACAACCAGAACACAGAAAGAGATTAATTTCATATATAAATACATATAAGCAAGCCCCATGTCGCTTTCTATGGTTTTGTGCAATATGTCTCTTCATAGCTGAGACAAGAAAACAGACAAAAGGGTTTTATTTTTAGGCTTACAACTTACACTAATGTATAAGTGTGGAAACAGGAACACTGTTATACCAAAAATTGTAATATTATGAATAAAATTTTAACTATTGACTATATTCTGCAGCATTTTTGTTAGTCTTGTGAAAAGCTGGAAAAGCTTAGATTTCCTTGCCTTTACTGAATCTGTATTTGAAATCATCATGCTATACTGACGATGTGCTTTTCTAATTAAAAATCCTTTGAAGTGGTGTGAAAAAATAAAGAATAGTTTCAGTATTTCTTTTAAAAAAGTATTAATCATTACAATGACACACTAATACATATTCTCCAAAAGAAAAAAACCCAACGCCTTATGTTATACTTTCTACATTGCCATTTTTGGAATAATACAACTTTCATGTTTTCATCCTGATGCTTATTTTCCAGCAAAATAAAACAAATCACACAAGGATTCCTGGTGTTGCATGGAAAACAGGTTTAGTATCTTTTCCCAGAAGAGTGTATTCTCTTTCTGGACTGCGTCCTGGAGACATTTTCCCTTTTTGTACCATTTATGACTGAGGCCCAGAATTGCAACTTATGCATATTCATGGCACATGCAATTAGATTACTGAAATTGATTAAACTATTTCCACGTTTTAAATTAAACCTATGTATGTCTTTGAATTAGATCCAAAGCTGCAGACTGTCTGAGATCATAGAAGCTTTTATATAAATGAATGTATCTCACATATATCTGCTAATGGTAAAGCTACTTTTGAGACCCTAGGATTAAAAACACAGTGGAAAAACAACACTAACAAAAAGGAAACACTGATTTTAATAAATACTGTTCTTGGTATTATATATGCCACAGAGGAACAATGGAGGAGCTGTATTTCTGAAAATCAGCTCAGTTCTTCCTCCTGGGCCGCAAAGCTTCATCCAAACCTTTCACAAAGTGACAAGCAAAGAAATACACCTCTTGTATAGGCCAAAGCTTACTACTGTACAGAACTTCGTAACTGCTAAACAAACAGAGCCTTTGGAAGTCACTTTGAAACAAGCACATGCAGAAAGTAAGGTCAAGGACCTAGAACAGAAGGAATTTGGCAATGATACTTCAGTCAGTTGCAGAAACTATGCTGTGACAATCATGGATGATTTATGGATGAATGAGGCGAAAGATGGCATATTCTGGTTTTGCTATTCTGAGTCAATACTGGCTGATCCAGAAGAAATGATAAACAGAGCTGAGGATGCACTGGAAGGAAATGTGCAGACAAGAATTTATTCATTATCCATAATGTACAGCAGATCTCTAGTATTGTATACTTACTTTCAGTACATGAAGCACCAAGGCATTCTGTAAAATTAAGCTACATTCTAGAGAAACTATGGAGTTCATTCATGTTTATTTAAAACTGGAATAGAGTCAATACATTATTTAATTTTTCAATGTACTTGTTATATCTAAATAGTTATGGATGTTATTGCAATTTTCTCACAACACAAGAATGTTTCAGATGGATCTTAAAATGAAAGGTTGTAAGAACTGAAAACTGAGCAGAAATACAAAGTCCAGGTAGAAATTACTGCTGTTTACTTTGGTTCTGAAGTTATTTAAAACTTGTTGATTCTGTGAAACAAATAAACAGTTTTATTTCAAGTCATTTCAGTGCATAGCTCTGTTCTCGAAATTGTGAATCAACCAGTTCTCCAACACAGGAGTGAGATACTGCACTTTTTTTTGGAACCGCTTCAACAACAAAACAGATAAAAACCAGTCCCAAAGTTATAACCAACTGTGGCAAAGGATCAGCACCATTCTTTTACCAATGAGTAAGACCATTAACATTAATGAAAACTAGTGGAATTCATAATTTTGGTAATTACATACTTTCTATCTAAACTGCTATTATACTTCTAATTTTGCTCATAGCAAAAGGCTTTGACGCTTTGAAGAAAGTCACAGGGTAATATTATCCTTAGAGATTGCCCTGGCATACAAATCATATTTTGTTTTAAAACAGAAGTCTCATATCCTCTCTTACCAGGTAATACTTGTGCTCTGCACACAGGTGGACCTAAGTCTCACTTCAGTGAAATGAGCTCTGTAATAGAGATACAGTGCTTATTTGTTTAATCCAACATACGTGTAAGTATCTCAATAATGAAAGTACCTTAACAGTAACTACCTCTTATTAGAGGTAGTAAAAAGTCAACAGTCTAGGGAAAAGCAGAATTTCATGACGATTCAACATTTACACTGCAGTAGTACCTCCACACCTCCAGCAGTGTATGAAGGAAGGTGTAGTACTCTAAGCTGAATGAACTTCAGAGACCCATAGAGGAACACAAGATTCCTAAAGTACTCAGCCCACTCAGTCCAGTGGAACTGGACTACTTTGCAAAAAATAAAGCAACACTATATAATGACTTGAGAATGAATATAGTATTATTAACAGAAAAGAAATACTCTAACTTCAGCAGAGTTCAGAGCTTGCACTACAATCTAGTGTAGTGCAAGCTCTGAGGTAAGGAGGCGAGGCCTGAAAAATATGACTTCAATGGACTTGACTAACAAAGGTATATCAAAAAAGGAAGAAAAAACAACTCAATACGTTCACCATCACCAGATTTGTCCACAGTACTTACTAAATAAAATTCACAATGAGGTATTTGGCAGCAGGATGAAGCAGCCCAACTGTTAATGAATCCACAAGTCCAGGAAGGGACAGTACTTGGTAAACTATGAAAGGTGCATTAAAAGCAAATAATGTACTCTTCCGAAGCGGAACATGCTGGTCAGTAAACACAGTCCTCTTAGTAAAGCCCTCAAAGAAATGCATCATCTCTTCTCAGCAGTCAAACCCAAGAAAGATTGAGCTAATGTACCACCATGATCTATGCTGACCACATCACATGGGAGTCTCTGTCCAAGGAAGGAAGGGTGGCTAAGGACAGCTAAGAAGGGAGCAGGTGAAGAAAGGGCTGCAAGAAAACCACAGCTCAAATCACATCATCACCTACGTCCTGAAAACCTGGGAAGTGAAGCAGAGTTCAGGCGGAATTGTGCAACTTGCTGTGAGGACTGTCTTCCAACCAAGAGGGGGTACCAAACCCCCCCCTCTCTTCAGCTTTAAACAAGATTAAGGCACCTCAGGTGTTGCTATTCACCAGTATAGGGGCAAACTAGTACAACTATATTTTTAAGCAAGACGACTCTACCTAATATTGCATCACCAATAAATCCCAACTTCACCGGGCTTTTTACTGTCCAAGCCCATAACGAAATACACAGTCCCTATCCTAAGAGTCACCTGATGTTCCTTCTATTTCATGATTCCTTTCCATCGTCTTCTCTAGAAACCTTGTTAGCTACAAAGACTACTATTGCTACTGCTTTCTTCTCTCCTAGTTGTAAGTACTAGCTTGTCTTAGTCTTCATAAACCCAGGTCCATCAGTCAAGGCACACTTATATCAGCAAAACCTAGACCATCAACGTAGCCAGGTACTCTGGTTAGAGCCTGATGGTCACATGTTTGCTGGGAACCTCTTATTGCACGGCACACATGTCACTGTAGTGCATTTTGTTGAAGGAGAGAAACGTTCACATATTTGAGAGTTCCTATAGAGGTAATTCTTTCAAATGAAATGCACTCTATACAACAATGAAAAGGTTTTACGTGACAGATTTTGGTGTGAAATGTGCATAAACACTCAGCAATTGATGCACGCTAGATGTTCCATGATACAGAAATTAAGTATGACATGAATTTTATGGCTGTAAGCATGAATTAAGTACTTCAGGAATAGACACAAATGTTAAAAAAAATCTCAGTGTTCTTTCTCTTTTATAAAATCAAAGGTAATAAAAGCCACAGTAATACCATTCCAAGATACAAAATAAATACAGGAAAAAATGATTAAGAAACAGGGTGAGGATTACAGCAGCTCCTTGTGACTACAGCTATGATCTATCTTGCTTAATAAGTGAAATCCTTCATAGACTGATAAACCTCCTTTAAGAAAAAGGCAATTATGGAAATCAATGAAAGTGGTCCATACACAATTTTCAAGGGCTTCACAATCACCTTGCTCTGATGCAGATGAAACTGCAGAATGTGTCATAGCAGCCTGGTTTGTAAAGATCTGCCTCAAGGTGAAATTTCTTAAAGATTAAATGACACGTGAGCACTACTTCTCTGACCAAGACTTTTTTTATCTAGAACCATGTAGAGAACAATCTAGTCTTGGTATGTTTTGGGCAAACTGAGCAGGGATGACAAAACACATTTAAGCAACAAAAAACCTAGATAAGTTTCTAACCTGTAACAAAGGCCAATTTTATATTCTGACACTGGAACTGTTCAAGAGATTTGCCAAAATAACTTTGCAAACAGGATGTATCACACCTGTAGCTAATTGAATATGTTTAAATGAAATACAAAATTCTCATCAATACTAAATACTTATTATCTTGTATCACCACAGTGGTATCAGCCTACTGTGCAATAAAGGGAAACGGCACACCCAGCAGCTTCATGGCATCTTATTTTCCTTTATAGAAAACTTCTCCCATGTACTTTTAGGCATACGGCAGATATGCAATATGTGAAGATCACTGTTACTGCAACCATTTACAGCAAAACCAAACATCTAGTAGAGGAATACCTCCAGCACAGGGTAACCTTCAGCTGATACCACTATTATCCATTGAAGTCTGAGCTGCTGAAAATTGCTGTTTTCAGTCAGCATTGTGCTGGGCACAGCTTGTACCTGCTGGGGTGCCAGAATCCGGGAACACTCTATTAGCATTCTGTATGCAGTGTCCTCATTTCTAAGTCCAGCATGTTACAGGAAGAATACAGTTACCTGCTTCTTCCATGCGAAAGGACATTTTGATAGCAGAAGGTACACTGGTCTGAAACCTAGAAGACCATGTACATGGGTATTCCTAATAGTGCTTCTCCCTTTCCTGCTTCCTGAGCAGGCGTTCAGCCCTACAGGAGAAGGGAATTTTTCAATCTTACAAGCATTTTACCAGAGCTTAACATAGCTCCAGAGCTTCTCAGTCAGGCTCTGCCAGCCATGTCTCCTGACACTGTTACCGAGACACTGAGAGCCCCAGTGTCACCTGCAACTCAGACTCATTAATGTGAGAATTATCTGTCTGCTTCTGAACTAAAAAGTAATTACTGCATTGGAATTATGCCTGGTTATCGCTAAGAAAAACTATTTTCAGGGAGTCCTTTCAAACTAAATGCATCTGACTCAAATATTCATGAAGTCATGCCTTTTTGCACATTTCCCTCTCATACTCATATCCTATTACGTTTTCAAAGACAAGCTTGACTGATATAAGCCTGCAAAGCTATTTTTTTTAAATCCAAAAGAACACGGTTAATTATACTTTTATGTATAGAATTCTGAGCAAATACAGCAGGAAGCACTCAAGACTATCTCTTGGATCAATGTATCAAGCATAATGACACTGCTACATTAAGAGCTACAGATCCATTTATGAAAAAGCAGTATCTGCTTTGTTCAGATGTTACTATTTTTTATTTCACAAGCGCAGCATATGAACATTCCCTGCCAAGCACAAACCACAGTAGTCCAGCAGTGGGAAACATACCTACAATAAACATTTCCCTCTGAAACTTGGCCTTTTCTTTGTACTTTGGGAAAACAAATGGTCCCTGGAAAGCCAAACTAGTCTGAACCTTCCTCCACCAGCCACATATCTCATCTCTTCTATCAGTGTCTGACTGTTCTTTGCCAGTTAAAGGTGACTTATACAGACAGATAAGTTTTTCTATTGAAAATGGCAAAAAGCAATTTCAGCAGCTGTGGTTCATCTGTAACTCGGAACCAGCAAGCCTCATCCTTTAGATTACATAGCATTTTTGCCAGGTCTTTCGGTGACTTTTCCCTTCTACCTCAACAAAGAATTTATGAGTATCGGGTTTAAACTGAAAGCAGGGAGACTTAGATTAGATATCAGGAAGAAGTTCTTCATGGAGAGGGTGGTGAGGCACTGGGACAGGTTGCCCAGAGAAGCTGTGGATGCCCCATCCCTGGAAGTGTTCAAGGCCAGGCTGGATGAGGCTCTGAACAACCTTGACTAGTGCAAGCTGTCGCTGCCCATGGCAGGGGGGGTGGAACTAGATGGGCTTTAAGGTCCCTTCCAACTCAAACCAGTCTGTGATTCTACCTGTTAGAATGATTACTTTAGTGGTTTACTTTATCATTTTACATTAGATTTGCATTTGCAATAATGAGCCTGGTGTATAAGCTACAGAGTTCCTTTTCCTCCCTTGTAATATGTGCAAAATAGAACCAACAAATTAATTGCAGAATTAGGGGAGTGGTGTCAAACTGTGGACTGGCAAGTTAAACATCTTCATATTTTTATTTTCACTATACGGCCCCAGCAGACTTCTTGAACTACTTTCATTCCATCATACAAGATTATGTAACGCCCTAGTTACCACAGATTAAAAGAGCCATGTACTTGTTTCAGTCCTATGTAGCTTTGTAAATACTTAAGACACAGATGACTTCTCTTCTACCCTGGAGATAAAATATACTGTGTAATTCAACAAGAAGCTATGACATTGTTTCAAGAAATGCACATCACCACACCCTACAACTGGCATTCAAAAGAACTGCCGTAATGTGGCAAGACTGTTAGCAGTTACTCCAAAAATAGGGCAAGCAAATTAAGGGTCCCAACCCAAATTATTCAGATTTGGAAAATCTCTGATATTTAGGGAGTAAATCCATACTTACAAAGCAACTAAACAAAAATTCAACCCAACGCTAAGTGTTTAAAACTTCATGCAGACTGTTATCTGAAGAAAAAACACTTTCAATACCTTCATACTAAAGCCTGCCATCTACTAAGACTCAGCACAAATCACAAACCCAGCCTGCTGGTTTTGCCATTAGTTCCGCACAGGCATTTGCTTGACACTACTTTGAACTACAACTGAAATGGTTTCCACAGCAAGGTACAACTATCAAAAAGTCTGTTTTAAAATTATGAGTAGAAATGTGATGACACCATGGAAGTAAGTTGTTTTTCCTTTATAAAAAAACACACCAAAAATTTCCTTGTTCCCATACATTTGAAATATTCTGCAGTTTGGATAAGAGAATATTTCTGTATTTTCCCACATAAAGCAGAAAAAGCTCAGATCAAAGTAAAAGAGAATTTCCTCAGTACATACAACGTTTACTAATGTCATGCACATACTTGCTCATTTTTCTTACAAAATTAACATTTTTCTTCACAGTAAGATTCATGGTCTTGTATAAAATAGTCTCTCTGCATGTTATCCTTTACAGAACAACTAAAATAATTTTTTTTCAGAAGGAAATACCATTTTCCTGTTAATGTACAGTTTAAGAATGAATATCAAATTTAAAGACATTAAAACAACAAAGCTTAAACTTTTACAACAAAGAAGTATTTCAGCAAGCACTGCCATATTGTTTTCTAAGGCTCAAGTGGACATTCCATTAGTACATTTGTAAATTGGTAAACATACCAAAACCAGCCACAACTACCTAGCTTATATATAAGCTTACTTGACAGAAGAAAGGCAACTGAAATTTAGAGGGAGACAATAGCACATTACCTGAATCATTGCGGAGGTATGACGACATTGCTGGGATGAGGCAAGACTGACTGAGTAGTTCTAGGAGAACAGATGGAAGAGCACTGCTGTTTTGTCCTCTCCCCTCATGGCTAGTTTGGGTCTCTCCATTTGAGGTACTCCCTGCAGGATTTATGTAACTGGCAAGAACCTGAAACACACAAAAATGTTGATTCAAACCTGATTTATTTTAGGCAAAACACCTTTGATTTTCCTTTCTTAAGGAAGACACCATAATATTCGACCAGCTATTTTGCTAATTCAGCACTGATATTCATTTCAGCAGTCCCAAAGATCTCTCAGAAGGAATTCTATAGTTTTTAGATTATGATTGCAACTTTGGCTAATGCAAAATTAAATGACGAACTGTGATCATTAATATGAATTTTGATTAAACTGGTGGAGTTAAAGCAGGAGTTTGCTAGCTCACACGGAGACATGCAGCTGACCAGTCCTATTCACTTCAGAACACTCACTAGCAACAGGAGATTTTTATTTCTTTTTAACTGAAAATGTTTTAAAAACATTTGTAACTTCTTTTTGGATGGGACTTCAGGGTTTACAGATGAAACAAGAACTTAGGGTGAGAAGAGAGTTACTTGGAAGCACCACTCATGAGCACGGCTGTTGCTTCAGTAAGCAAAGAGCCGCTTCGCCTCAGTGATGGCGGGAGAGCCGCCTCACGGCTGCACACCTGTGCCCCCCAAGGGGAGCTCCCGCTGCGCCCAAAGGCCCTTACCGCCGGTTGCAGACTACAACCTAAAGCACTTCCGTGGGTCTGAATCGCGCAGCTGTACTCTCAAATTAGGTACCTTCAAGACACAAAAGGCTGCATTATGTGAAGTCTCAGGGGGTTCTCTTCACCTTTTTAGCCTCTTCTCCTTTATCTCCCTCTTTACCGCACTACCCATGGTATTGTGCTGCAGCACCTCATCAGCACTCTGTACAAGAGCATTTTTCTAAACAACCTTCCTAGAGAAGGGGCCAGTCAAAGTCTGCTGTATAACTGACTGACATCTTCAGCAAAATGCTGAGAGTTTTCCACTTCTTCCTACAATTGCTGACTGCCCAAAGCAAATGCCTCCTTACGTCGCAATTTAGGACAGTTATAGCTAAACCTCTGACTGGCATAAACCAGAATACTGCCTAGAAGCTTCACCAAAGGTTATTCAGGTGATTTTCCTCTTTTTTGCTGAGGAAAATTGTTTCATATTTTATTTGTTTTGCTTTGGCAAGGGATGCGATACTTGTGCCTTGTAATCTACAGTGACTTGAATAACTGATCACATCAAAAAGATATCTTCATCAGACAGGGCATGGACATTTTCAGAATTTCATCTCCTCTGCGCTCTACCACAGCAGTGAGGTTAGCTAATGCATTTGAGCTGACAGTTCTGTGAATGAAATTTTTGATGACTAGGTAGAATCTCATTTTCCCCACAGTGACCTAAGATAACAGGGGCTGGCTGCATTTCAAAATGGACTGAAAAGCCTCATTATGCAGGGTTTTCTTCTCAGCATGAGGCATTTGGAAGTCAGAGTTCTACTAAGATCTGGATGTTTACTGGTGATTTACTATTGTCATTTAGTTGACATACTCATGATTTTACAGAATGTTTGAATGAGATTTTCTTTTATTGGTCTAACACATTCACGGACACCAGCATGGGCATTTCCTCAAAGCAGAGCAAAAATATGTGAGAAATTAATAGGTAAGATTACTTGACACGAAAAAAAAATGCCTATTACATTATTCTCCTCCTTTGATGGACAGTCTTTACTTTTGACTGAATGCAGCTATGTCCACAAAGATAAATGACAGCTCCAGGGAAATACACTGGAATGCTTCTTGGTTCATTGTCTAGTCAGAACTGTCACCCAGTCTTACACACTCCAACCTTTTATATGCACCAGACCACTGATGTTTGAAAACAGCCTAACTCAAAACATGATCTATACCATTTTTCATGGTTGTAAACTGTATTTTTTTCCTCAAAATACCATAACTACTGTGCTACATGACTGGAAAAAATACAAGCTCGATTTTTATTATCCAGGTTCTAATGTTTCAAGTGCTTATCATTAACCAAAGTTTCATTATTACACACCTGTAGAAGGCAGGTCACATGCTCTTCTTCTAGCCTTTGCTTAGTCAAAGCTTGTTCAACATCCCATCCTGAAGCTGTGGAGCCTGTTCCAAAGCCTGTACCCTTAGCCCAGTACAACTGCTGTTCTTCTGTTGATGCACTGTTGTGTGTACTTGACACTTGTGGCTAAAAAAAGAAAGAAAGGAAAAAAAATTCACAATAATTTCCCTTTTTTCATCTTATGAACCAGTTCTTTGGAAAGCTTTTGTTTTGCAAAAGATGGCAATCCCAACTTATTAGTTTAATAAGGAGATTCAGAGGAATTCAAAGCTTTAGATAGGAAAGAGTCTGCCACTCATATGGCGTTCCAGTACAGGTCAGCACTGAATTGTAGCAAGTGGTTGTTCTGTAAGCCCGTTTTTGTTCCAAGATATTGTCTCTGCTTAAATGATTAAAGGTATTAAAATGTTACTTAATCCATATCATGCAAAACATGGCAGTCCTATAATTATTATGGTTTAACACCTAGTCAAGTTTAATAGCATGATTAGATGAAGTGAATGGAAGGAGAAATGTCATCGAAAGTACACAACCAAAACGTTAAGATGCTCAAGCATGTGCTGATTCTGAATGACCGCTCCAAAATGGCAAGTGGTGTAAGTTACATGTAAAGCCCTGACACATGATCTCTGTGTCACTGAAACACACATTATTTCCTCTCCAGATAATCGGGGGGGAAATACCTTGTCCTTAAAATGTCCTGAGAGAGCATTTTCCCAAAGGTGTTTGTATAGCTTTTCCCAATGGTCTGCACCACTACATTTTACCAGCATAACTCCAATATTACACTGCTTAGCCTTTATGAGCCTATTTAAGTACTTAATGCTAATTTTAAAAGCTTACCAGATCTTTGGCGAATATGACGCAGAAAAAAACCTCTAGTAAGCATTTTTTAACTAATGCTTTCCTAATCATATATTAGCACCCTAAACAAGTGACCTCCTTTTCCAACGCAACTAACGCTTGCTACTTTCATTACTCAGGGACAATTAGCCTTACTGGTAACCAGGTCACGTGAGTAGGTGCCCAAATTTAATCTGCGGTATTTACAGCTCTGAAAAGCTTCATTTTTCTGTTCACACCTTCTTCAGTGACTTTGTTTGGGATTATACTTGTGGGAAAAGAAATTACGTATGAACACACTGCAATGGTAAAAAACATTACCTCCAACTAAGTACGATACCGACACTAGTCTGGAATCACCGCTGAACTCTTATATCAGGAATGTAATGCATGTCAGTGAGCAAACAGCTGTGTGGTTACCGTCATGTGGACATTACTCATTACATCGCTCACAAACCTGCTATACCTTAAACACTCAAGAGGTCTGTCACGAGCACCGACTTACAGCACTTAAAGGAAAGCTGAAATTCAAGCCTGGGTGCAGGCCTGATGGAGTTCTAGTTTCAAGTTACCATCCATCACCTGATCCATATGAATTATAAGAAAGCAAGCTGTTTAAGGGGGTCTTGGTAGAACTCAAGGAGAGATAAGAATTAATGGTTACCTTTCCCTCCAAAAGCGTAGTAACACTAAGGTATTAACGTGTCAGCAGCCTGCTACCCATCAGGAGCAGAGGATCTCAGCTTCCCCTTAGATCTGATTAGCATGAAAGTGAATTATTCTCATACACAGCTCCATCTCTTCCTTGCTCAACCCCTCATCAGTATCAGAGCTGCTAAAATATGGACAGCCCTATATTCTGCATCTGCTTAGCCATATTTAGCCACCAGGAACTTTTTCATGCAAGCCACACAGATGCTAAAGAAGGCAAGTAATGAATTTTCTTTAAACACTTTTATATACAAGTGGTATATTATGCAGAAATGGCAACTCATAATCCTAAAAAAACCCAAACAAACATGGGGTATACATGTTCTGAATAGAGGATAGTGTAATACTAAGTCCTTTGAAAAAGTTTAATTCTGGAGATTCACTCAAAATGTTGAATCTACAGAAAATGTTTTTCTTTGGATGTTACTTCCACACCAGCAAAAAGGTAATAAAAACCCCACTGCATTAATTCATTAATTTTCACAACTCCTTTACATTTGTTGAGGCATGTAAGAGGAAATAATTTGCAGCCAGTAGGGTTTAGATGATGAATGCTAAATAAAGTAATGAGGTCGTGCTATCTAATGAGGGTTAAAGAACCACCATCCATTGAGCATTATGCCTCATGCACTGAAAAAGAAGGCCCTGTGAAAGAAACTGATTACACCTTAATGCCTCATGATAAGCCTTCTTTGTTGGTTAAATTCCATGATTACTACGCTTACTTGCAACATGCAAGGACAATTACTTCATCAAGTACTTTCTAATTATTTTTCCTCTTCATTCAAATGCAAACTCTGCAGAAATAGGACTACAATGAAATCATGGAGATTATTTTCTTTTTTACAGTGAAAATTCTTCCTGCTTCTCAGTGCCAATTATTCTGCTGCTACACTTACCTCTGCTTGGTTGGGACTGGAGTTGGGCACTCTTGGTGCATGGTGGCTTAGAGCAGACAGACAAGCAAGGATAAGATGTATAGCCCCAATCTCCAGGGCCATCCGCCTAAGCAGCACTCCGTCATCAGTAGTCAAGGGCGTAGTGCTGAACAAACTACGCAACACATGGAAAGGCAGAGTGGGAAGCACGTTTGCTGAAGGAGACTGCAGGATATGACCTAGATTGAAGAAGAAAAATATCAAACCCACATTTTCTTTCAATACTTCAATACAGCTGGTCAATCTCTGCAATGGTTTATAAGCAACACATACAGAAATGTACTAAGGACTTAAGCATTCACATAGAGTAACCTATCTAATAACTAGGTTTATCTTCACAAAGATTTTTTAGTAGAAGAGTATATAAGAAAGAATGTTTCTTTCTTTCCTTTATGGATCCGGTTAAGACCAAAGTTATAAAATCTGATTTGCCATTTCCAGGGAGAAAACTTAGTTTGTGAATAACAGTCAGTATACTACTGCATTTGACCACACTTCAGGTCGTATTTTGAATGAAGAAAACAAAGGTGATTCAAACGTTTTAAATTTTTTTTTTTTTTTTAAACATTCCAACTACAGCAAGTTAAAGAATGCACATGGTCAGCTAACAGCAGCTCAGCTGGCAAGGAGCTGTACTTTATCATGACATAGTGGATTTTTTCATATTCATGTGCCCGAAGTGGGAACTAAGTCACTGACACAATCCAAGCTGTGATGTTACTCAAGCTGAATACATGGTGAAATACTAACATAGTTTTAAGCTGTGTGTTTGATTTTTTTAAGTAGAATTATTTTAAATTTTTAACCCTTTTGCATTAAGAGCAAAAATAACTTCTTTTAAAAGCTACTCTTCAAATAATAGAATATCCTATTACTGCAACCTACTTAGATTTGGGATTGTGTCCTCATTTTTTCTGTATTTAACAATGCATTTCACATTCCTTCCCCAGTGCATGAGTAAAGAGAGATATTTGACAACTAAAAACACTGTGAAACTTCTGTTCAGAAGTTTGCTTATTTAAAATATATTTATATTATCTTCCTCATTCTTAGAGTTTATCAGCTATATCATCTTCCAGAGGTAGGAGTGAAATACAAGACAAATATGTATGTCTATATTTATATGTACATGTATCTACACACACAAGTTAATTCATATCTGATATTCTTCGTAAAGAAACAAGAAGGAAGCAAAAATTCTCTGACTGGGACCTTCACAAATAAATTGAACAGCTCTGGAAAAAAGCCCATCTGATAGACTTCCAGAACTGTAGCTGTAGCCAAATGACACAGAGTCAAAAAAAAAAGATGATAAATAAATAAACAAACAAACAAATAAATAAATAAATGAGGAGAAAAAATCTAAACATTTACTCATGATTTATTTCACAGACAACTGAATCCACTTTTAACCTACAAGCCCTAGATGTGTAAGTGCAGCTCTTCATATTATGTAAGAAAGTAAAGAGAGATCTAGATGTATGAAAAGATGCATTTCCAACAGAAAAGGAAAACAGTAATTCTTTATACAGAGAACTAAGGTGGACTACTATGTATAATTGATCCCACATTTTGTAAAGAGTTAAATTCAGGTGTTTGGTTTAAGGAATGGAGAAAGTGACTGTTCAGTCCAGCAGACAAAGGCTAGGAGGGAATACAATTCCTGTCAACAAATGCATTGGAGAAAGAAGAACAATTTATGCTGAGGAACCATTTTGGCACAATGATAAATGGGCACAATCTGGATATGAATAAATTCAGGCTGAAAATTAAAGTAGCCCCTACCTATGAGGAAAATACTGTTCTGGAATTGTATTCCAATAGCAGTAATAGATGCACACACACAAAAAAAAGAAAGCAACCCAAATTTTAAGGGTCTGAGTTGGTCTCTTCATTAAAAAAAAAAAAAAAAGGGTATAAAATTGTTTGCAATCACTCAAGGACATAAAAAGTTGAGGGACTGCATATAGTCCTTCAGATAATTACTACTCAAACTAGGTGGGAGTAAGCAGCCAGACTAGATTTTTATTATCCAGTTTATTCTTTTTTACTGTACTGTACCTAAGTACAAGAGGAATAAAAACAAACGGAAGGAAGGGTAAACAAGACTCTTGGTATCGTGGTTGGCCTTGGGCACTCCACGCTGCTCACCACTCTGTAGGCTGCTGAATGGAGACTAACTTCAGTTGATTGCTGCATAGAAAAACCAGCATTCTTTTGGAAGTCACAACAAAAGGAAATGATTGAAGTACTAAAACATCTTTCACATACTCTTCCAGTTTTTCAAAACAGTAGAAAATAAAAATATTCACACAATATGCAGAAACCCAGGTTTGGTTGCAAAGACACTAACTACAAATTCTCTCAGCTCATCTGTTCATGGCTACTCACCAAAGAATACCTCACTTCTCCCTCCTAACTCGCACCATTAAGGTAGAGCTCCTGCTCAGCTAATTCGATCAATGTGATCTTTAGATCTTTCTTTCCTTTTCTAAAACAGTTTTACCCAACATTTTATTCTACATCTGCTGTAGCTATGCTCCTATCCATATTATTCTGCATTTGGCTGCAGAAATACAATTTTGCTCGATCAGTTGAGCGTACCAGCTACTCAGATTGTTCTATTTGAGTGCACTGCCATCTGAGTGACAGGGCCATTCTAAGCTTTATCAGCTGTTATTTTACAATTACTCTGACACTTGAATACTAATGATTGTGTCAAGACTTTGCCAGACAATGTAATATTCAGAGACAACAGACTATCAAAGTTGCTAGCAACACAGTTCCACTCAAATCAATTCTCACTTCCTACTACAAGCATTACAGCATAAATAAATTTAAATAAAATGATCTAGCCTACAAAGAAACATAATAATTGCAGCACATACTTCCTTCACCATCATCTGTAACTCCCAACACCAATCTCAACAGACACTGAGCATGTTTCCGTTCTTTTAGCAGCACCTCAGCATAGCCCGGCAGACGAAGAAATAAACCAAAGGCAGCCAAAGAATGCGCAGGTATAGGAGACATAGTCTGAACTGTCGACTTGATCGGTGGAGGTTCTGCAGCAATTGTTTCTGGTGCTTCATACACCAACTCCCCTGACTGTTCAATGGTGACCCATTCAAACTGATCGCTGTCCTTCTGCTTTTCCTGCGTGGTCGACGTAACCACTGGAGTGCTCACCTTAACCAACAACAACAAACAAAAACGTTCGATAGTCATTCAGTTAATCACCAAGGCAAAATGTCATGAAAGTTAGGATCTAAAGGAGATACAATCTTAACAGGACACCATGAAAAGGTCCCATGAAATACACTCCCATTTACCAATACAGGGATAAGGCTAAATGGCTAAAAAGGCCATGCTTTTTGCATTTTCGATACAGTTCCAGTAGGTCTTGCTTACACACGCAAGCAACTGGTTTTTGCCCTAGAGTCCTCAGTTAAAAACGTGTTGCTTAAAATCTAGAGGCACAGAAGACAAAAATTACACAGAAATAAACAACACAGTTTATGCAGCAGACTTAAATAAGAAATAATCCTTTGAACACTGACGTCCTTTTAACAGTGTGAACTCAAGTAGTTAATTTTTAATTATATATTGCAAAAAGGAGAAAAATTAATCATAACACCTTTAGAAACTAAGAAGAAATTTGGGTAACTTAGCAGTCTTGTAGCAAATCATGTGCTCTTTTTGGGTTTTTGATTGATCTGGTAGGCTTTATTACTACTATGCTCTAACACAACAGTCTGTAGTTGGATTTTCTGAACTAACACTGCACAGAGGACGATGCAGCCAGGCATTACGATGGCAATCAGAGTTTACGGGGGTAAGTTATACAATACCCCAGGAAACAGTCATACACCCAGTTAAAATGAAAGTATGACACCCAGCTCCCTCTCATAACTAAACATCACAAAAGCTTCAGGCTTTTATGCTATTCAGATGAACTGATGAAATCATATTTAAAATTTTAGTGTTTATCACCAAACTGATCTAAACTAGAAAAGATAAATTCTGCCAGGGCTTTTCAGATTAATTCAGAATACCAAATTCCTCATTAAAAGTCAAAGCCACATTTGGTTGCATTTATTCCAATCATCTACATATTGAGAGAATCTTAAAGTACAGAGTTTATAGAAATCAGAAGTATCAGTGACTTAGAGAAATATTAAAGTAAAATTAAGGAATGAGAAGTCTGGAGAATTTATCAGTCTTCACTCTGAATCTTCTATTTGGTTTTATTGTCCCTAATTTGTTTTTATGGATCACAGAATTCTTATTCCAGTATTTGAATCCAAAACTATATCTCAAGCTAAAAAATGTGAAAAAAAGATAACTTCCCAGGACTGCAGAAAAAGGAGGAAAGAGGGATGAAATTTCTCATAGTCATAAGTGTCCTTTCGTCTGCTGCAGAATTCCATGAATCCGCCTTCTTCAATACAGAGTACACATTATCTCTCTTGGATTTCAAAATACAGTAATTGTTTACGTGAATATTGTTGAGGATTTTCTGCAGGACTATGGTCATGCAGAATCTCTGAGCCTGAGCAACCCTGGCTCCCGCCTAGAGCAAACAGAGCAGTATAGGGCACAGATGAGAATGAACAATGCATAAAAGAGAAGAAACAACGTTATAGCAAGAAGATCTGAAGGTCTCCGGAATGAAGAACTGTGAACACTCCCAAGCTCACAAAACCGCTGCACCTGACCAAGCAGAAACTGCAAGATGCTACATGAACAAAGCTTGCTTATAGCAAAAAGGCTACATGTTTTAACAAATAATATTTTCTTTTAATAAAGATGCTACATGTTTTAACAAATAATATTAGTTAGGAACCAATCATAATCTGTGACATACGCGTTAAGCATTTAACAAGTGTATAAAAAGGCATGTCATTCTGCAATAAATGGGCTCACATCGATCATATTGATCATGGCGTGAAGTCTGTTATTTCATCCCTCGCAACAGAACATATTTCCCTAAACTTTATTTTTTGAACAAGCTTGACAGCAGACCTCTAAAACATCTCTGCAGAAGGATTCATGCTAATTACCTGGTCTCACCAAGGGGTTCCTATTCCTGACATAGTTTTGCAATCAAGGTGCTGAACAGCACACTTAACTCATGATTAATTTAATTTCAAAGGGAATAAATATTCACTATCTTTCCTACTATGAGTATCAGACCAAAACTTTCAAAATACAGCCAAACAGTATTTAAGTAATTCACAGGTTATTTTTTCCCTGTTTAATAAAGATCGGATACCTAGAACAGCAGCCAAAGGAATAATTTGTAGAATCATAGACTGACCGGTTTGGGTTGGAAAGGACCT